GACGGGACGAGGCGCGGGGGGATGTAGAGATCTTATGCAAAGCCTGTCGTCGACTCGTCTGTCTGTCCGTAGGTTACGAGGGCACTGGGTCAGTCCTGATGTCCCCTGTTCCCCATCAGATGTTGCCCTACATGAACGTGGGCACTTTGTCCCGGACGGAGCTGCAGTTACTGAACCAGCTGCACTGCAGGCGAAAAAGACGGCACAGGACTATCTTCACTGATGAGCAGCTGGAAGCGCTGGAAAACCTCTTCCAGGAAACGAAATACCCAGACGTGGGCACCAGGGAACAGCTGGCCAGGAGAGTGCACTTAAGAGAGGAAAAAGTGGAGGTACTTTGCTTTCCTTTTCCCCCTTTTACCGTGTTCCTTTCACACTCAAACCGGAGTTAGCGTGCTGCGGCTCCAGCCCGGCTCGGCCGGCAGAACGATCGCGTTGCGTGGGGGAGAGGGAAAGTTTTTTATTTCCAAGAGCTCTTCCTTGGCACGGCTGGTCGAGCCTGTCACAGGGCTGTGACCCATTGTCCGGAGGTGGCCTTGCCTCCTGAAGCCTGCTCAGGTCAGCCTGCGGGTTTGCATACTTTTATCCTTGGGTTTTGTTTTTTTTTTTTTTTTTCTCACTAATAATTTAATTTCTTAACGTAACAGGTTTGGTTCAAAAACCGCCGGGCGAAGTGGAGGAGGCAAAAACGATCGTCTTCGGAGGAGTCAGAAAACGCACAAAAGTGGAATAAAGCGTCTAAAACGTCACCGGAGAAGAGACGAGAGGATGGGAAAAGTGACTTGGACTCCGACAGCTGATACCTCTTAGAGGAGGACATTTCCCGTGGACTGTCGGATACGCTCCAGAGGATGCTACCAATCTTGCACAAGCTCTGCCTTGTTGGAGGGGGAAAATGTCTGTATATAATGTACAATGCCCCGAGTCGATTCCGTGTAAATAAAATGTGTTGCGGAGGTCTTGCATAGGTAGACGGCGGCGCGTTTGTTCACCCTGCACCGCGGGGAGAGGGAGAGGAAGAGGAGAGGGAGAAGGGAGCAGGGAGCGCTGGTGTCCCGCTCCCGGGGAGCTCGGCCGGCCTTGCTGGCGTAGTTACACACTTAGCGGTGCAGTTTGGAAGCTGCGGAGGGCAGCGCTGGCAGCAGGGGAGAGACGGCGCATCTTTCACTCGAAGG